TTCGAGAAATGCCAGACAATTTTAAATGAAGATACACGATTATAAACAAACATTTATGTTTCGGTCAATTTTGATTTAAAGTTCATAAAATTTTTACAAAATACCAAAAACACGTTAGACTTCTTTTGTTACTAATAAAATGAAAAATACACATTTCTTTTCATTTTTAAAGATAATGGTTCGCTAATTGATTGAATCAGTGAATCTGTTTTTTAGTAAATTGCAAACGAGCTTCCTTATACACTTTAAGTAATGGTGGTTTATGCAACAATTCTGTATATTTTAAATATTTACACTTTAATCTAGTTCCTATTATAATTTTACACGTGTTTTTTTGCCTTTTCATATTTTCTCGTGCAAAAGAAATGATAAATCGTTTTACCAGCTTAAATTTTATTCAATCAGAACTAAAGGAAAAATTTGTTCAAGTATATAAATATTTACATTCATATACAAATAATAATATTTTATTTAACCCCATGTGTATTTACGTATTAATTGAGTTATATTTTGTATTGATGATTTAATATAGCATCTAGTGAAGTGCAAGTTATATAAATTTGATTATCATTATTCGTATCACAAATTAGTGAAGCTTAGACGAAATAAACTTAATTACTTTTAGGCTTCACTATTAATAGACAATGATAAGATATCAGATTTATCAGAAATTTATTAGAACGTTTACAACTGAAATATATAACACTTGTTTAGATTTTTATTTGTTTTTGGAACGAGCTTTATCTGAAATGTCACAAAACGTTTTTATTTGCCAAATATTAAGTATCGGCATGTTATTGCGCTGTCACGTCCGATAACACTTCTGTATCACTTTCCGGTGAAGTAATTATCCAGACAAACGAACTTTCCAACAGGAAGATTCTGTTTGCTGGGAACCCTGCGAGTACAGATGAACTAAAAGGTTAAAATCTTACTTCTAACGGTTTTAACGAAACTACTTCACTAGAGAACGCAATTACAGGTACACCGTGGCTAACAGAGTCATCAACGGAATAGAAATGTAGTGAACAGAAACTCTGTATTGGAGTTTATTAAACATTCCAACTAAATATCCACGTAAATCTTAGAAAAACAGTATCTTAGAAAAACAGTAACTGCCAGTGTAACATTTAACAAATATTATATATGCTTCAAATATGGTATAACTAAATAATTTTAATTATATTCTTTTTTCATTTCTATGAGTTGATGATAGTAATATTTAACAATAATTTACTTCACAATTCTTTGTATGAAATATTTTCCGAGAACAAACATAAACTATGATTATTTACAGGAATTCACTGCATTAGAAATTAAGTTTTGAAAGCAGAATTTCAATTAAAATGTATGTTTCCCGATAAATTTTGTTATTATAAGTTTATTACTATTCTTAGATTTATATATATATATATTAAAAAGACATTACTAGTTAATGCTGCATATAAAAGAGCAATTAAAATTATTGGTAACCAGACATTTGCATCGTCGAAAATGAACTTAACTTTCAAATTTTAAACATTCATATGATCAAAAGGAAGAAAAATTTTTATTTTCAAACTCTAAACATTCATATGACCAGGAAGGAAGAACAATTTAGGGTTTCGATACGATCTTGTGTAAACTAGCGTAAAAAATTCACAATGATTATCCGACTGAAAGAAATGAATCAAGTCGTGTTGCAGTTTTATGAGCTCTGTAACGTCTACGTGATTCAGATATCCGTCGTATGATCAGTTGAGGCAGACTTAACGAGGACCGCATTATTTCTTAATAAATAAGGACATAAGGATATGAGCGTGTTCGAGGAAAATTCGTATTGACACTATGATAAGGTGAAGAAACGTGCAAACGGAAAGCGACAGATTTAGGTCGTAGACGGAAGAGTTTCGCTCCTCTGTTGGCACTATGCCAAACGACGAGGATCATTCGAAAGCGGTGAGCATGTGTTTTCATCGCATCCTACATGTCGTCCTTGTTGGACCATGCGTGATTGGTAATTCACGAAGTGTACAGAATCGGTTCGGACTTTCGACAATCTCTGCAAACGGATATACTTCGAAATTAATTCGTCTACTTGGAATTTCTTCAAGAAAATCTTGCCATTCTTTTCTGCATATGTTTGTAACACATTGAACGAGTAATCGGATTACAACGATAATATTTTCATTAACACGAATCATGTCACGAATCGGTCAAGTGGCTGGTTTTAAAATTTGATTGAAAATTTAGTGTTTCCTTTTGTTCATTTAATTTTATATTAATTCCTATATCGTTCGATTAAGCGGTTTTCAATTTTTTCTTTCTTCTTTTGTTACTGTTTCTGTCAAGAAAAATTTATCTAGTGTAATTTATCTAATTTCATTCATCTCATTTGCGTCATTTATTTAATTGATATATTTTTATATAGTGCTACATAATGAAGCGTTAAAACTAGAGGATCTTTGTTTAAATTAGAATACATTTAGAACACTCTGTTCTATAAAATTGAATATGATAAAAGAGTTAGCGAAGTCTATTCAATCCATTTTTATTTAGAATCTGAGAGAACTATTAATAAAATAGAGAAGATTCTATTTAAATTTTTAAAGAAAGTTTAGTAATAATGATAATAAGTGTCATCAATTATTTTCAAGAGAACTGTTAATGATACAAGGTAAATTTCCTTCTACGATTTTAATAATAAAATAGGGTGTTTATCGAATTATGTATTTTTATAGAACAATATTCAAGTATAAAATATAACATTTTCCCACATTCACTGAATTAAAAAATCACAAATATGTAAAGTAGAAGTGGAACATAAAAAAATCATTCCAGTATATAAAAATTTCTTTAGTTCGATGACACTCGATATCGTATATTTGTAATTATGTAAATATATAATTCTTTCTCTAAATATTTTACATACAGTGGATATGATAATAGTGGTGTTCTTAATTTAAATGCAGTACCAAAAAAATATATTACAATAAAACATAACTAATTTTAGTAAATTAAAGATACTACTATTTCTATGTCCACTGTACGTATAATATTATAATTTAGTGAAAAATACGAGAAATATATGTTTCTTATTATTTTGAATGAGTAACACTTATTTAAGTATAGAATATATTGCTTAACGTTGCCTAAGTACTTGTACTATACAAATTCCGTGAAGTAACTACGTTTGGGTATTTCGTTAAATTCGGACATTGAATTCGTAAGATGTAACTTTCGCTTTGTATGGTCTGCATGATAAATCAGGAGCTTCCTTTTGCAATGATTCCGCGTGAACAGCTTTGTATAAAATAAGCGTTTCATTGTTTATATCATCAATACACTTACTATGTTAGTAGTCAATTTTTCGATCAATATTTATTTTTAATGCAAAATCAGAACAGTCGAATAAGCAATACGCGTACACTTAAATAAAAAATTATATTTAAATAAAGTTAAAAGTACTACTTTAATAAAAGAATAATAAAATAAAGATAACAAATACAGTAAAACAGCAAAGTACTGCAATGAAAATAATAAAATTCGATGATAAGAGTAACGTTATAAAAAGAATAAAATAAAATCCAATGAGCAGAATGAAATTTAATAAATGATATAAGAAAATGAAGTGAAGACAACGAAGTGCGATAAAAATTATGAGATATAATGAGAGTAATAAAATAAATTGATATATACTTGACTGGAATTGACAATAAAATCTGATTATCTTGTGAACGAACCGTTTAGATAAATTGCTCGTGAATAAAGGTTATATAATGAATTCGTTGGTTCTTATCGTTCTTTTGCACTGAGAAAGTTGCGTATATGCTCTATTCTTTGAAAACAGCAGTTAATCTTCGTCGACATAGCTTTCGCCTCATGCGCTGCATGGTTGAAAAGTCGAACGTCTACTTCTACCCCTTTACATACTCCATAATACATAAAATCAATGAAGCACATATGCAGAATTAACACAATGCATTCCACGCGTCCGATTGTAATCTATTAATATTACGTAAATGCTAATACTATCATTAATAGAAACGGGGCGATGTTGATGTCAAAATTATTTACTTTAAATTATTTCGCAGAATAATTATATTATATACAATTATTTTACAAAAAAATTTTATTTTATATATAATTATTAAGTAAAATAAGGTTTATAAATAATTATAAAGGTCATATTTTAATGAAATGTTAATTTGTTCATATCTTTAATGATGACGATTTACGCCATTTTTAAACAGTTGACTACATAACTTTTCAATGTATGTTCAAATTTTATTGTTTTTGATAGCAGTTAATATTCGAAAATTATTGAGTGAGAAACATGATTTTCAACATTAGTAAGGATTGCATTATGCACTATTTTTCCCATCTTTAGATGATCTTTTGGTAAATAAATATATAGTGATATGCAATTAATAAGTTATTGATATATTTAATTTAATGTGTTAATATAATTGCGTAAAAAATAACGAAATTAATAGCTTAAATAATGATTACTGAAAATCATTCTTTATATATGTCCATTCTTTATATATGTCTTTATATATATTGATTTAAAACACTACGAAACCGAACACTGTACATATCTCTAACCTTATTCAGCAGTCAATTATGTCTTTCATCAATTAATTTTAGAAAATGACGTCTATTTTTAAAGCACATATTAATTGAAAATTGTGTTGTATTGAGACTATAAAAGTATCTACGCATATACGTGTAAATATCGGGTCATTCAACAAATTAAGCACTATTTGCACACTACATTTATTTTTAAAAATTCATATAAACACAACTGTTTTAAATCAAAACTATGTTCTCCTTCATCATCTGTATATCATCTATCTACATATTACAATCCCATTAAAAAAGGCTTTGTTCCCCCCAATTTTTAAGAATAAAATAAATATCCGAAAATCGCATTATTTACATGATCCAATACATGAACCACATTCTTCTCCCCATAAAACTTCAAATTTCCCGGGTTTAAAAATATCCTTTTTACTCACTCGAGGAACATCCATCTTTCTCCGTCTCTATCACGTACTTTCCTTCAGGAACATATCACAAAAACAACGTTCGATCGGGAATCACACTTTTGAATGTCCAAAAAACAAAAAAGAAAGAAATACAATCGGTGTGTAAATTCAATGTTCCATTTCGGTGAATTCAAACCGACGACGGAACGGAAGCTGTCGCGTTTCCACGGCTAGGCTGAAGGTTGGAGAACAAGGACGCCCGCGCGAGAATCGCGTGTGTAGAAGGAAACTCGGGAGGAAGGAGAACGAAGAAAAAACGGGAAGAAAGGCGCACACTTCACTAGGGTCAAAGAGAGAGTCCATCGTAGCGTCTTCCATGCAACTCGCTTATATACATTTGCTCCTTCTTCGCTTCCTTCCCGCTTTCCCTCTTTCTCTATCACCTTGTCCTTTCTCTTGCTCGCCAACAATCGAACTCCTTTTCTACCTACCTGACGAACTCCCCCACGTATCTCACCTGTACGAAAGTCCTCTGAAATGCCTGTGAATCCCATGCTGAGCAATATTCGAGGGTGGCTTACCTGGTTCTTCGGGGTTGCTCGGGGTACCTGTCGCATCTGGCCAGTCCAAACGTTGAATTCGGGTAACATTTGATTTTGAAATTCTTTACGCCTGCGTTGTTCAGGGTGAAGAACATGAAACTGGAAACATGAATAATTCAGTTGTTTTTAGTGGTTGAAGAATAAGACTCATCTTGCTTTGGTTCAAGAGGGATGCTGGCTATTGTCGGTAGTTCTTTTATTGGTGGAAATCTGAAAGATACGTACGGAACCAAGATCTTCTTTTTAGTATTAAGTTATATTTTAGATAAAAATTGATGTTAGATTATATATTAGATAATAAATGTATGTTTGTGAGTATTTAATACAATAGTATTTAATACAATAACAATTTTTTAAATAATGCCAATTTCTCTAAATAGCGGCATTCTTTCTCTATTTTTTAGAAAATATATGTATTAATTTTCAAAAGTTATATTTATTTGAAGTAAGTTTGGTATATCTTTATTTGAGTCACGAAATAAAAGTTTACAAACCTCGTATAGAGGTTAAAGTTCATAACGATGAAGGAAAACAAAATTTTCGAGTTCTCCTCATCTGATTGTCTAATATTTTTCTTATTAATTACATGTAACGTATTTAATAGCTTAATTACATAGCATCGCCACAGTTAATTCAAACTTTAACCGCGTCATTCGTTCATTCATTATACCTCGATAAAATCAATTTAATGACTTTGAACAAGGAATTATTAATCGAGAATTTCTGGCAAAATGTAGAAACAAACTCAGAAAGTGTTGTAATTTAATACAACAAAAGTGTTGACTTTTGTGAAACTTAGAATTGAAAAGTGTGGTGGAACCAAACTATTAGATTGATCTATAAACTTCTTGACGACACTATATAGCATGTGGTTTTTAACACTAGGTTTACAGAAATTTATTGTACAGGTTACTCTATTGTTCCTAGAAAGATTGACGTTCGTTTGTTTAAATCACAATAAACACAATAAACTGAAAGAATGCACCTAAAAATAACCCATTCTTGATTTCTTCATTTTGCAATTATTAAAAAGATAATGCATATTTTTCTGAGAAATGACGAAAGAAATTGATTGAGCGATACAAAAACTGAATTGTAAATCAATTAAAACTTCAATAGATGCACTTTCTGAGATCCTATACAGAAATTTCAGAAAGTCGATTTAACTACTCAGTAGTGTTAATAAAAAACCAAAGCAAAACAAAGAAAAATTACATGTTTATCGGAAAAATAAAGAATTCATCGTTGAAAGAATCAGTATTACTTCAAACTTTCGGATGACGTGTATAGTCGTCAAACGCACTTCACTGGTTAAAGGTAATTTCGAAGACTAAAGATCCGTTTCTTGAAATTGTATGTCGATTTAACTTTCAATACAATTCCAATGTTACAAAGAAGTTACATATTGAATTTGCCAGGTTTAAATATACGTATTATTTGAATGCGTGTAACGAACCTTGCAACAATATTGCACATATTCCAAAAGAAAACTTTCTTTAAAATGCAGAAACAAAGCGGAACAAATTTTCTTTCTATGCAGTTATTGAGGTCCACGAATGGATACTTCGCCGATTGTGAAGCGATGACATACAACGAAAGCGGCATGAATTATTCACGCGAATGAGAAGTGAAATAGGCGTGTACCTTTCTTTGCAGGCATTTAAGTCTCCGCCTGTATTTTTCTTGCCACTGGCAAGATAACCATTGAGAGGGAAAGGTATTCTTTGCATTCTATAGAATCCTCCCTAAAACCATTTACTCTCCCTCTTCGAGTAATACAGGGTGAGGCAACTGAAACTGACTGCCTAAATAATTCAGTCACTTTTTTGCAATGGAAAAAAATTGTTCAAACAAATTTTAATTAATTCGGGACAGAACATTATTTGCTATCGATAGCTTGTAAGTAGACAATGGAAATAAATTTTGATTAATTTGAGATAGAGAGAGAGAAGATAATTTGCAATCGATAGTTTGTAATTAAAGTCTTTTTATAAATAAATAGAAATGTAAGAAAGATACAAATCGATTTTTTTAATCCGATGATGTGATACTTTTTAATATTTTGTTGAAAGTTCTTAAAGATTGTTGAAAGTTCTTCAAAATAGTTGAAGATCTTACAGATATATTAGAAAAAAAGAGGAAATGATAAAATTGTGAAACAGGTTATTGGGACTGAAGTTATTAATTAATCCTGCTCTTGGAAATAAAAGTTTCAAGTTTTTAGTCCAAAGAGCAACAAATACAAGTATGTTCTGACTTGTATATCTTCTTTTTAAATTGGGAAGTAAATATTTAACTGTAAATAAAAAAGGATAGTATTTCACAAGAGCCGGTGCTACAATTGTATGCTCTTTGAAGAAGAACCTTTATTGACAAAGCAGATATAGGTAATAGATAACATTCATATATTCAAAATATTTACACTTATAAGTGAAGTCAAACAGTGAAAATATTTTTAACTGTTCTCCATATTTCAATTCAAAAACTACCTGAAACATATATAGAGAACATTCAATTCATTTTATTCAATAGTACGATTAATAAGCATTTTCTTTTATTACAAGTAATAAATAATAGGCATCCTATTATATAGCTGATCGTAACAATAATTGATATTGCAATATGTATATTTAATTTATTTTTATGTAAAACACAAACATGATGTATTAGGTTTCAAATTCTGTTAGAAATATTGATATTGTTTAAAAATATCACATAACTGATTGTTCTTAGCGCAGCACACTATAATCGCAAGAACACATATCTGTAGAAATTACATTACAGTCTTTACAAAACTAATGCTATTTAGGTGATAAATCCAACATTTTAAATTTTCTGGAATTATTTTTCTATACAAAATACTTGGAAACTCATTGCAGTCGCTTATAATAGCATAACTATTGTATTACAAATTTTAATGTTTCGCATTTTCCTCCGCATATTATGCTCTTTTTATTCCATACATATATTCACAAATGCTAAAAGCAATTCTTAAACAAAGAAACAGTTAATTACAGGATTAATATCATTTTTTCGTTCGCGTTTTTTGTATCTGTATTTACAACTAAAGTAGGCACATTGACAATTCTAATCAATACATCACACGAAAAAGGTATTCAAGTTGAAAGTTCTTACGCTACATTTTACGCGGTAATTGTAGTATTGCAAGTCACAAATGTAATTTAATTTAAATAAATTAATTTAAAATTTTATTAACATTTATTTTATATAAACATTTATTTAAAATAAATTAATAATTTATTTGTTGTAGTGTCAACCCTTTGTACTCCAGAAGTGTTTTAGTAGAAGTATTTAACATTTTTCAATGAGATACAAACGACATTTTCTGAAACTGACTTGACGAGAAATTGCACATAAATGCTGGAATAAACAAAATTTTATACCAATACTTCTCATATACAAAGTTTGATATTAAATATCAAACTTTCCAATTTTTCTGTGTCAAATCAATTGGCGACTGAAAGATGCCTTTAGAGTGCAATGAGTTAAGACCAAGGGTTAAAGAAATTAAGCCTGAGTCATAAAAACTTAATACGAGGAAACGACCAGGCAAGAATCAGATTGCTAATTTATTGCTAATCTTTTCAATGGTAGCCCTAATTTTTTAATCAGAATCAAAATTTAATCAATTCAAATGTCATTCAGTTCTTTTGAGGCAAAATGAATTATTATCTATCAGTCATCAGTTGTTATGCTGTAAAGTGAATGTAGACGTAGAATGAGAATAAAATTCCTGTATTTTTCTACAGAATGATTAAGCATAAAGTAGTCGCAATGAGTGCAGTTTCGCAAGAAATCATAAGGCAAGAGGTTAACTAAACATTTTTCACTTTTTAGCTCGGTTATGTTCAAGTATTACAAATTACCCAAACCTTGGAACTGAATCTTCTTATCACTGTCTATTCTACAGTATATAACGGAGGTCTAAAGCGGATAAATCCTATGTATGATGAGAGTTTAATGAAATCACCAACGGATATTCCTCCAAACACCAATAATCCAAGCGCGGAGATATATTCGCTACGACGACCAAAGCGACTATCATACCAACATTGTCAGTCTCCGTAAATCATCATGGCACCGAAAGCGAAAGTGTTCCTTGTCGTGCCCGTGGTTCTTTTTATTTTCACTCTGATCCCGTCGGGAATGTCTGAATTGATTCCTTCGAATCAAACCTGCACAACGCAAGGCAATTTCGAGATCGTCGATGGAACTTGCAGGAACTACTACATTTGCATTTACAATGGTGTAAGTTTGGAAGCATATAACGTAACATGTTCACTGGGAACGTTATTCAACCCTATTACGGCAATTTGCGAGGCGAATAGTACTTGCACCCAAACGACGCCAAAACCGTCGTCGACGACACCGTCGCCGACGACACCGTCGACGACGACAAAGACTCCGTGCCCGGGAAATGGCAGATTTGCGATTCCTGGTGATATCACCTGTCAGAAGTACCGCATCTGTTACACTTATGATACCATTGTCATAGACCGCATTACATCGTGTCCGAATAGTTTGCGGTTCAACCCAACAATTCAGCAGTGTGTTCGACCTACTGATTATGTCTGTCCAACGGTTTAACCCTTTGCGGTCCAACGTCGAGTCTGACTCGACATAGCTTTTAAATTTAAGAATTATAATTATTTTCATTGTTTCTGCACGCCAATGAACGATTGTCGGATTTAAAAGATCACTGT